TGTTGCTGTTGATGTTGATGTTGCTGTTGCTGTTGCTGCTATTGTAGTCGTTACGTTGTTGTCGTCTTCGTCGTCGTCGTCGTCGTTATTGTTGTTGTGGTTCTTGTGGGAGTTGTTGCTGCTATTATTGCTGTTCCTTTTGCTTGCATATCGAGTTGGCTCTTACCGGCCGGTACTTACTTCTTTCCTCTTTTTCAGTCTATTATAAACAAAACATCGCACGATCTCGAGAACAATTTGGGATTTATAAATACTCGTGATGTTTTGAAAAATCTCAAATTGGACTCGCCTAAGGCTCGTCCAATTTTGAAAACTTTCGAAACATCACTCGTACCTATAAATCCCAAGATCGTGCGATTTCTTATACTTACTTCCCACTGACTTTCTGTGTTCTTTTTGCAGGACATTTATTGATCCATCTTCTAGAAGGTATGAAGAATTAAGATGCTTTTAGAATATCGCTTGATAATTATGTTTATTTCATCACGCGTAAACCAAGTGCTAGTTGCCTTTCAGCTGTCTCTTCCACTCCTGTCTGTTTTTTGTCTGTCTCCTTTCCTCCTTTCCCCCCTCCCCTTTCCTCCCCACCCCCTCCCCATGGGCCTGAAACTCAGGTTACCTTCTCCCTAGCTAACTTTGTGCATCTCTATCCGCCTTTCTCTCCATTTTTTCATCTGCCTGTCCAGTTTCTAGCCACTAAATCAATAACAGTTATTTATTCCGGGTTACTTTATCACAATCTCATATTTGATCTGTTCTTTTACTTCCATCTAGGTCAGTAAGTCTTCCCTCGCTTTTGGTTGACAAGATAGAAAACGATCGTCCCTCGTCACCAGTCCTAACCGAGTCTCAACAAGCCGTCAAAGCCGATGTAGAATCCTACTTTAAAACCTACTTCAAAGTAACTCATTCATTCTTCATTTCAATTTCTATTGATATGACACTCAATTGTAAAATCATTGTCGGGTTTTCGTGGAATACTCATAAATTGTTGCACTTGCAGAAATCATAATGGGATTTTAACACATGTTTTATATCTACTGTCTTTGACTGTTTATCACAAAATGAATACAGCAGACAAAAATGTCATTTCCCGGAATACCTTTCGCTATCAGCTTCTACATTTTGATGTTCTATATTTTGAACCCAACAATAGAGACCTTTAGCACGACGTTTTTGCTAGCCCCGTAAACCTCAAACTGCAGTTCGACGTCAGGCCTTTTCCATCAAACTTTCAACATTTAGCATTGCGTCATAACGAAGTTGTGGCTGGAAGAGCCGCCATATTGAATTTCATTGATGCTGAGTGTTTCTCCGTGTTTGCGGGGACGTGTTTCTGGGCCTGATCCCCAGCAGTCAGCGGTAAACCTGATGCTAAAGGTCTCTAATGGTTATATAATTCTAACTTGAGAGATGACATTGGGATCCTATTGGAGAACCATTTTATCAAATACATTTAGGGGGTGTAACGTATGCACCGTGGTAGTATTCACCTCCGTGGGAGACCTGACCGCTGGCGTCACTAGGGCACGGCCATGCACCACACTCTTTTATTGGTAGATAGATCTTGTCTCATTGGTTAAGATTTATCATCTAACCTCGTTCCCAGGGATCATTTGAATTGACTATAAGGGATTTATATAGTACATGTGCTATTATCTTGCAGCAGAGCCGAGAGGCTTCATCAAAACGAGCTGACGGCACATCTACTCCCAACACACCAGGCCAAGCCAGTAAAACAGACGGGTTAGAGACATCACAAAGCTTTTTACAGTTTTATAAAAGAAAGGCGCAGAAAAGATCTAAGGTGAGTCAATTATTAACTGCTCTCAGCTTCCTTTATCTCGTTGATAGCAGCCAAGGTTTACAGCAAAAAAATACCGTGAACACTTAAAAATGTTTGGAATGATAAGTATCGTGTTCTGACCAATCGCATGCAAGAATGAATTCATTTCTAATTAACTGTCGCATATGATTGGTCAGAACACGATGTTTTACATTCCAGACATTTTAGGTGTTCACGCGACGGTTTTATTACTTGACTGAAATTTATAAGGTATTGGAGTGAGGTAGAGTGCACGCACTAAACCCGTGAAACATATTTAGTACTAATTAGTAGTAATTCATACAGAATCCTTTGTTTCCTATTGTTTGATTATCACTATTTAGTGCTAAAAATTAGTATTTGTTTCACGGATTTAGTGTGAGCACTCTAATAGTCAGGTAGTAGGTAAGGGCCATTACAAAAAGATTCAAAATTTTGAACATTACACACGTTTTTAATAACGCGACCAAAACAGCTAGACCAAGATGGCTGAATCTTTCGCATTCGTTAACTAAAATGTACTGACTCAGACCGCTGGAAATTTGATTGAAATTTATTTTAAAAAATTGGTATAGAGGTTTGCTCCATTACGTGATGGCAGCCATGACAGGAGGCACAACAATAGAGTCTTTTCCCCTGGGAAACAAAAATTTTTTCTTATGTCAATCAGATTAGATCAGACTCAATTATTCCTGTCATGGCTGCCATCACGTGATGGTGCAAAACCTCTATTACTTACTCATATTTTTTGTCTTTTCTACTTGCTTTTTCTACTGATTCTAAGGATATTCTCCGGATTCTCTTATTTCCTTACTCGTCATGAGATTCTGAAGGTTGGTTTAGAAATGAAGCTGATAATTTTCCCTCTTCTCTTAATCATATTAGAATACAGGACGCGTTCAACCTACTAAAGAAGACCGAGAAGAGTTCAAAAGAATACTTCAATCAACCCAAGGACGACTGCCAGTCAAACTGGAACTATTCAGACGATATCTACAAAACCACAGCGACCCCGAAACTGTCCCTAAACTTGAGAATGATTTAATGTTTTATCTGGAGGTGCAAAAACTGAAGGTACAGATACTATTCACACGTGCACATTCACTCATTTACAGCTATTTCAAAAAATGTTGAATACTGAATACTGCGCTGAATAGTGTGTTCCATAGACTGCGAGTAGTCCAACTTTTCCTTCCAGACTCAGTATAAAAGACGAGTGTTTTGGGATTCCTGTGGACTCGTTCAATCTCCGCGCGCGTCCACAGGAATCCCAAAACACTCGTCTTTACTGAGACTGGAGGGAAAAGTGGGGCTGCTCGCAGTCTACGCATTCCAAGACCAAAGGGCATTGTGGGTCTCGTTAATTTGAGATAAACATTAAATATACACCGATTTGCTCTCTATATGTAGCTAATATATTGTTTTGGATATGGAATGCACTAAAAACAAAATAAATGATTATTTATTTTATTTAGACAATATCACATAACACCCAAAACAGAAAGAAAGATTGAAACTGGAGTCTTTTTTTTTCATTCTTACTTAGTATTTTCTCATTTGTTTCTTTCAGGATCTTTTTAACTATCTAGACGATGTAAGTTTATTGCCTTTGCTATTTTTTGGAACCTGTATTGAATACACTTGACTAAACTAGGTTTTGCTTTACGTTCTCTCCAGGCTTCACTAAATAAAAAAGTAGAAACAATCATCGAATGTTTTCTCGACTCAGCCTCCCCTCCCTGGCTTCAGGTAAGACTGATATCTGATATCTATTTTTTATGACGTTGATTGAACAGCCCTATAAGGTACAGCCTTCATAAGAGTCCATTTTATGGAATCTGCGCTGTTATGAGTCGGTTAGTTAATTGATTGACTGACTAACCGACCGACCGACCGACAGACTGACCGACCAACAAACAAACAGACAAAATTCATGATTAAATGATCGGTTGATCGGATCACTTATGTTCTAGATCGATATTGGGGCAGAGTTAGCTTCCAAGATTATCCACAAAGCTCAGATGATTTTTTCGTCATCCAAGAAAGYATCCCGAGATCAGAAGGACCCAGGAATATTCGACGAAGCACAGAGTATCGTGTTCAAGGAGGTATTGCCTTATTGGGCGGGGTTCTGTAAAACATATAAGCCACCGGAGGATGAAAACACGGTCAAACTACCTCGTAAGTACTCTAGTTCGACATTGGTCTWATTAATTGTGAGGTTAACAGATCGGTTTCTCCAAATAGACCCATTAAGCCTAATGGGCGTGATAGGTTTTTTTCATTTCAGACCATTTGTCATTTCCTTGAGTATTATTCTTATACTTTGTGCGTATAATGTCTTCCCATATTAGACCTCGTATCATTCCATTGAGTATCATTCTTTTAACTTTGTGCGTAATGTTTTCCCATTTCAGACCTCGTATCATTCCMTTGAGTATCATTCGTTTACTTTGTGCGTAATGTTTTCCCATTTCAGACCTCGTATCATTCCCTTGAGTATCATTCGTTTACTTTGTGCGTTATGTTTTCCCATTTCAGACCTCGTATCATTCCATTGAGTATCATTCTTTTAACTTTGGGCGTAATGTTTTCCCATTTCAGACCTCGTATCATTACCTTGAGTATCATTCGTTTACTTTGTGCGTAATGTTTTCCCATTTCAGACCTCGTATTATTCCATTGAGTATTATTCCTTTTATTTTTGGCGAATGTTTTCCGATCTAACACCACGTCTCATCCCCTTGAGTATTACCCTTAATTGGGAGAAATATTTCCTATTTCCGACCTCGTGTCACTCCCTAGAGTATTATGGCTATATATACCTATGTATTAAATATAGAGGTTTTCTTACAGCAACTAAACAAGAGAAGAACCTTCAGAGACGGTGCAATGAATACCTCGTATCATTGGAAGAATTTTTTCCTATTTCCGACCTCGTATCATTCCCTTGAGTATTATGCCTATATATACCTATATATTAAATATAGAAGTTTTCTTACAGCAACTAAACAAGAGAAGAACCTTCAGAGACGGTGCAATGAATACCTCGTATCATTGGGAGAAATATTTCCTATTTCCGACCTCCTGTCATTCCCTTGAGTATTATGCCTATATATACCTATGTATTAAATATAGAAGTTTTCTTACAGCAACTAAACAAGAGAAGAACCTCCAGAGACGGTACAATGAATATCTCCAATATCAAGCAGTAACAGAAACATTAGTTCTTCCTCCTGTTAATCCGACCACTGGTCAGTCGCGAAGTGAGGCTACTTTCACTTTCTCTGACGGCATGAGATGGAAGGTGAGAAGGCTACAGGAAGATATGGACGTCACCCCAGTCTCTTAAATCTCTTTTATATCTGTACATGTAGTAATCAGCAATGGGTTCAGGTTGTTTAGATTTACATGTTTATGGTGGTGCTGGTGGTGCATGGTAAAAGAATTTTGATAATGCCAGGTGGTGTCTCTTAGAGGCATGATGGTACTGCTGCTTGTGTGATGATGATGAGTAATGATGCTGTTGATGATGAAGAAGATGATGATGAATAAGTGATAATGTTGATATCGATGATAATGGAATATTAACAATAATTAATAGTAACGATGATATGTGTGCAGATGATAATGATGAAGTTGCTGTTGCTGTTGCTGTTGCTGTTAATATGCTATGATGATGCTGTTGCATGATGGTCATGCATGATTTATTATTTTGATAACCGCAGAAAATGATATTCCTGTTGATGGTGATAATGCTGTCGATGAAATATGCCCTGAGAAGGCGTTGTTGATGATGGCAATACAGGAACCACACTTATCAGTTTTAATGTAAAGTGTTCTTTCCATATATTCGCAGGATCGGCGAGAGGTAGATACAGCAAGTGTGGTATCCAGTGTTCAAGGGAGTGTAACAGGAGCAGGACGTAAAACAAGCACCATGGATGCATCCTCTATACAGCAGATTGAAGTTGGTAGTTGACAGTAGTATTTATAATCCATACTATCCTGGCTTCCAGTAAAACAAGCACCATGGATGCATCCTCTNTACAGCAGATTGAAGTTGGTAGTTGACAGTAGTATTTATAATCCATACTATCCTGGCTTCCAGTAAAACAAGCACCATGGATGCATCCTCTATACAGCAGATTGAAGTTGGTAGTTGACAATAG